TGCTGACGGCTCAGAGCCTGGAGTGTGCTTCAGATTGTGTGTCTCCCTCTCTCTGCCCCTCCCCTGCTTGCACACACTCTCTCTCTAGAATGTATAAACATTTTAAAAAAATGTTTAAAAGAAAAAAGAAACACCGACTCTGATTTTGACTGCCATCAAGCCACACGGACGCTCCCTCCAGTTTCTAAGTTCCTGAGTCCTGAAACCTCATTTCCCCTCGGTAATGAGTGAAGTGTATAGCTGCCCTTTGAGCTCCACTTCTGAGTTCTGGGCCTCGACAGGCCTGAAGGGCTCACTTTTTACTGGAGCGCAGCATCTAGAACCACGCTGTCCTGAAGAGCCTCCTGCAAGGACGCGGACCTTCTGGGTCAGTGCCGTCCACACCAGCAGCCTCCAGCCTCCCAGGACCCCGAGCACGTGGCTGCAGGTCGTGCTACCGAGGAGCTGAAATTATAACTTGGTTTCATTTAAAACAAAGCAGCCGCTTGCGTCTAGAAGCCACGCGGGGGACAACACAGAACTAACATCTATTCCCATCTCCTGGGAAGGGCTCCTGCAGGGAGGCACTCTCCTCCGGGGCCCACGAAGCCCAAGGAGGTCCATCCAACAGCTGTGGTGTCGGAGAGGGTCCATGGATCGTCTGAAATCGCACCCAAAATAGTACACGTGGGCAAGTGCGTTTTCCTGAATGTCAACAGCTTTCACGAGAAGCTCTAAGGGGTCTGTCCCCTTATGTCCTAATGTCCCTAATGTAAAAATCTGCCCTGGGCCTGGGACCCTTATGGGAATGTCAGCACATTCTCAGTTCTAGTAAGAGCTCATGGTTCAAGACAGAGTGAATTTTCCAGGAATCTGGTAAAGGGACAGCCTAAACCTCCCATTAAATACTTCTTCACGCCCACCTGCTTTGAACCCTCATTCCTTTGCTTCATGGAATCCATTTTGTCATGAGGGGCTCAAGTGGGAAACTCATTAACCTTACTTAGTATGTTATTCATTCATCCATCCATCCATCAGATCTGAGAGTCTACAGAGTAAGAAGGCAACGGAGACAAGAAACAAGTCAATGCAGCCTCTGGGCCCAGCCCCAAGCAGACGCGGAGAGGACAGACTGGGAGGCTTTGAGAGGCAAAGGATGGGCGTGGGGCCGGAGCTGAGGAGAGGCACCTGGTTCCACGTCTAAGAACCAGTCCGGCCTCTAATCCCCTTGCCGATCTGCATAACCAGGAAGACACCTCCGCCAGGCAGGCAGCTGGAGGTCTATGCTCTAGAAAATGTGCACCAGAGTGAGTGGAGGAAGGACACCAACAGAGGCAGGCCCACCTCGCTGGCCGCAGCCAAGAAGCCAAGAGAAAATCCGACAGATCAGGAAACGTCACTGGACGGCTCCAAAGTGCATGCATTTGTCAAGAGGGGAAAAGGAGAGCTCACACCGGTCCTTGAACTCTCAGCGCGTCTTGTGTTTCTATCCCTCCGCGGAAATTCTACACGAGGCTCAGACTTCCAGAGCTCACTGGCTGTTCCTGACAACGCCCGTCTGCGAAGTCAGGGGCCACAGGCGCGGCCCCGCGTGTTCGGTGCTTGCCGGTGCGGGATGTGAAGCTTGTGGTGACGCGACCTGAGCCCTGAACTCCAGAAAGCTGCTGCCCAAAGCTACACACAGCACAGACCTCACAGACGGACACTTACCCAGTAAGCTTCTCCAGGACGGAGGGTGGAAAAATTTCATTTTCTCCAGATTTCATTTCAGAGGGCAGCAGAAAACAAAGATCGGGAGATGCCGGTAATGACCGGGCTCCCCATTCTGAAGATTCTGCTACATCTTTGCAGACCTGATGGACGACTCTGGTCGTCTCTGTGTTTCTGTCCTTGTCTGGCTGTTTTTACTACAGATCGGGACCGAAAGCAGGGGGTACGAACCCCGCCCCTCCCTATGCTCAGGGCCCAACAAACACCAGCCCGGCATCCCCGCCGCCTGTCTTCCTGTGGGACAGCGCTCCCAAGGTCAGAACCGGGCTCTGGCCTTCCCCTCCCAGGGCTCTCTTCAAAAAGTTCTCTAGTGGCGGCAGCTAAAAGGGCTAAATAACTTTCCAGAAATGAAGCCCGGTGGTCGCCATATTTTTATGGCACAAAAGGAACTTTAGCGCAAAGTCTAAGTAAAAGTAATATATTCCGGAATACGGAGCTTCTCACCTCTCTTCTAAACCGGAGGACAATGTTAATAATGGCGGGAAGCCAAGGCAGGCAGCACAGGGAGCTTACAGGGAGCTGAAGCCTCAGGAGGACGGGTGGGGGGCCACACACCCTCCTGGTTCCCGAAGACAAGCATCTGGAACGCAGGGAGAAGGACCTGGCGTGGGGTGGGGGCTGCGCATGAGCGCAGGCCCGCGACGCTAAGATGTTACCGCTGACGACAACTTCTCCTCCACGGGTAATGCTTATAACTGTCGGTATGACTACCTCGAGCAGAGAAACGCTGCAACGTCCTCTCTAGAACACAGACCCCCAGCATCGTGGCGCTTGCTGTCCCCGGTTCGTGCGGGCTCGCGACTCTTTCCAAACCTGCACACAAAGCAGTACTACCTTCGTCTCCCGTATTTCATTCACGGCCCGTCTTCAACACCAGCTCTTTCACAGACGCCTGAAGAACTGACCTCCAGAGATGTCACACATTAAATAAAAAATGATCATTTTAATTACTTAAAAGTGGCCAATTAGCCATGGGCTGAAAATACTTCAAATCAATTTAATGCATAAAACTAACTAATGAATTGTTATGAAGTGCTTGGTCCGTTTACGGTAATCGGTCTATAACCAGAATCCCCATCATCATAAAAATAACTTAACAGCCACACAGTGAACACCGCAAATCTCTAACATGTGCTCCCAGGACAAAGGAAAGAAAACAGTATATACGTAAAACTGAGGAATAATAAGAAATAAGTGCCATTAAGCTCACCATCATCTTAAGAGGTAATATTCAGTGGGCGCCCAAAACAAAACCAAAAAAGACCCTCAAAACCCAAAATACAATCAAGAACCAAGAGACAAAATGGGATTTTAGTTTATGCGATCAAACACGTGACTTTGATCAAGAATTCCAGGTGGATAATATGCAACAAAGTTTTCATTAAAAAATTTTTTTTAATGCGTAAGGGCTGGGAAAAAATGGACAATCTATTTATTTTTTGCTCTGCTTCCTAATGCTAACTGATTTCAGTGCTACAGGATACAAAAGCACTGTGGAGAATAAAGACTGACATGAGCTGCCTTATATTTCTTTGCTCTAAAAACGGAAATTTATATTCCAAAGAAAGACAATACTAAGGAGAAAAGGCTGTCAGAAATGTTAACTATACACTATTGCTGCTCATCGCCTTTTTTAAGATTTGGGAAGCTGTAGGGTCGGGCGAATGAAGCAGCAAAGATCTCAAGAAGGAAACTGACCTCAGGCGTACCTTAATGGCTTAGCCAGTTTCATTCCTCCATCTATAAAAATCAGGGGCGCGCTGCCTGCTTGTCTGTGTCAGGTAATTAACAGCTGTAAAGCAGTCTGGAAGTACAAACCGCTAAATAAATAATGACTGCCAAAGAATCTTAATGATGATGTGCTAAATAATAATGATGAAACAGGGGCTCTGAACTCTACCACGTCGGTTTTCAAATTAATCACACCAGCAAGGTCCCGATCTCACAATATGGCTTAGCCCCGTATGAGGTAGTGAGTTTGACGGAGGGACTGAACTCGCAGAAGGGATCCTGTGTTTCCAAGAGCAGGTGACTCAACTTTACATGGAGTGATGAAAACAAGGTCAAGGTCTCTTCCCGTGGCCGCAGAAATAGCGCCATCCTGCCTGTGTCCGGACTGTGGCTAATTCCCACCAGACACCATTTTACTCGGAGATCCACCAACCAGTCAACTTTTTGAGAATTTTCTTTTATTTCAAGTTGATTTTGAAATCCTAGACCCTAGTAACATTTGAAATGGTTTTCCTAGGAATTAAGGACACAGATGATGGCGCCTATGATTCAGTTCTGTATCCTTCTCACTCCCCTGGGCTCCAATAGTTAGGAGATCGTCAGCCTCAGAACTTTCGGTGCTTTCTAGACGTGTGCTTACTAAAGAGACAGGATGAAGACATCAGCACCACTTCCGTGGCCTTCCAAACTTTCCGTTCCAGTGGTGGCAGGAGATGCCATGACCATTAAAATATGGGCTGAGAAGGCACACATTATTATTCGCAACTCGTCTCGTTTTTCCATATACATTTAAAGTAATTGATATATGTCATGAACTAAAATACAATCAAACAAACCCAAAGAATTCAGATCACGGAAAAACAGGAAAAATCTTACAGATCGGACTCATCTCAATTCTTGGTCACTGAAAATACAGCATATAAAACATAGTCCTTTTTCTACATCTAAAATCTGATCAAGGTTCTGCTTATAAAGTATGATGAACTGTGAATTATCTGCACCATCACAAACAAAACGTAGCTATAAAGAACAGTTTAAACGTCGTTAAACAAATAAGGGTAAATCTTGGGTATTATGTATTTAGGGAGAAAGTCATCTGCAGTTCCTATTTCGAGGTAAAATTAAATATCTATGGAAGAAACCAACGTAAAGGGTATTTATTATTCACATGCAAGTATATAATTTTATCCTCATAATAACCACGACCTCAAATACCAGCTTTAGCGCCTCATATTAATTTAATTGTGACATTAGCTTTTATAATCACAGATGTAAAAAGACCACTGTGTTCCAAACACAGTCATCACACCAGTATCTCATTTCATGAAATTATGAGTCAAGATGAGAGACTCTGAACATATTTATATTTGATTAGTTTGACTCATTTAAGAACACTGAATAATTTAAGATCTGTTTAAAGAAAAGGCAGGCGAAAGGCGCTGTTTCTGAGAAGTACCACGGGCAGCCTGCTGCCTCCGATGGACCCTGGGTCCCCCAGAACAACCGCTCACTGTGCGTACCTTCCAGGTGAAGCCACATCAACCTTCCCTTCACGCTGACCACGGAGGCCACGCAGAGCTCTCCTGGGTTCCGGGGGTTCACAGCTTCCAGTTTCATGTTCTTGGTGAAACCCCGACTGAACGATGTCTGAAAGAGAGAGAGGACACTGAGCACACAGCAGGGTTACAACAACAGAGAGGCCGCACACACGTACACACACACACACACACACACACACACACACGCTAACACACGCACGCAAATCGCATCCGTAAGACAAACGTCTTTCCTGCCATTCATGAGAAAAGAATCATGCCCTCTTCGTTTTTATCCCAGAATTAGAACTCTGCTGGCACACAGCAGGCGCCTAATAATACCTGTCCAATGAGAGGGTGGATACGGTCTCTCTCCAGGCTCTTGTACGCCCCTATTTTCTATGCAATCACCAAAGTGCAGGTCATTCCTTCTCCTTCCCTATCTTCCTGACTCTCACATCACTCCGGGCATATTCAAGGCTGTGAGGACAGAGCCCAAGTCTCCATCTGGCCTGACGAACTCCCATTCGCATTGTGAGTGCAGGTCTACTGGTGACGGATTCCCAGAGTTTTCTCTGAAATTGTCGCTACTTGACATTTATGCTTTGGGCTTACTTTCATTTACTTTTGAAATTCACTTTTTAAAAGTTTACACTTAGGAGGGGATACCTGGGTGCTCAGTCAGTTGAGCGTCCAATTCTGGGTTTCAGCTCAAGTCATGATCTCACGGCGGTGGGATCGAGCCCCGCATCGTGCTCTGAGCTTGGGAGTCTGTCTCTCCCTCCCTCTCTCCAAATAAATAAATAAACATAAAAAAATAAGAATAAAAATTTACACAAAGGGAAATTCACTCTTTTTGGTGCCCTGTTTCTGAGGGTTACATGCAGTCGTATGGTCATAACATCAATCAATAGGTAGAGCAGTCCCTTCACTTCCAAAACACTTCTGCACTGGCCCTTGGGTGATCCGTCCCTCCCAGACTCCCAATTCCTGCACCACAGACCTGTCTTCTGTTCCCAGAGTCTTGCCTTTTCCATAGTATCACATAAAGGGAGCCATACACTGTGCAGTGCTGTTTCTTCCACTTAAGCAAAATGCATTTGAGATTCATCTGTGTTACTACACACATGGAAAGTTCATTCTGGTGTACTGCGGAGTGGTTTCTGTAAATGTGCAAAACACTTTTCACCTCACTAGAAAAGGAATTGCTGGACCTCATGATAAATGTATGTTTAAGTTTCTAAGAAATTACCAAATTAGTTTCCATGTATCATTTTGCATTCCCATCAGCAGCGTGTGGTGTTCCAGGGGCTAAGCATCTTCACCAGCACTTGGTTTTGGTGCTTTTTCAAATTCTAACCATTCTACTAGGCGTCCAGTGCTAGCTAATCATGGCTTGAAGCTGCATTTTTCCCTGCAACGAATGATGTTGAGCATTCTTTCACATGTTTCTTTGTCACTGGTGTATCTTCCTTGGCGAAGTGTTGGGTTTTTAAAAGAAATGTTTATTTATTTATTTTGTGTGAGAGAGAAAAATAGAGAGAGAGAGAGGTAGGCTGAGCAGGGGAGGGACAGAGACAGAGAGGCGAGAGAGAATCCCAAGCAGGCTCTGCACTGCCAGTGCAGAGTCTGACACAGGCCTTGATCACCACGAACCACAAGATCATGACCTGAGCTGAAATCAAGACTCGGATGCTTAACTGACTAAGCCACCCAGGCGCTGCGACTGTCTGCTGTTGTCTTCATTTAGGAAGTATCAGCTTTGGTGCCTACAGACTTGTGGCTTTTATCTTTTAATACTTCCTCAGACACTGGTTCACGATATCCTGGCATCCCTTGTCTCTGACGACCAGTTTGCTCCTGTTTAAAAGCTGTTCCTCTACTTGAAATGTACCGATTTTTCCCTCTGGAAGTTTTAAAGATTTTGTTCTTCATGTCTGGTTATCAGCAGTTCGACCATATTGGGTTTCCTTGTATTTATGTTGATTGGGGCCCACAGAGAGTCCTGAGCTTTTCCATTGATACTTGCAGTGACTTTGGTAAATTCTGGCCATTGCTTCTTCAATGTATTTTTTCCTTCCCAGTCTCTGTGGCCATTTCTCTGGGTCTCTGGTTACACATGACTTTGTTCTTCAGGTCCCCGGGCTTCTGCTCATGTTTCCTACACCCAAATGTCTCTTTCTGTTGTTTCTTCAGATATGCTGCTTTTCAGCTTCAAAGTCATGAACCCTTTCCCCCGTCACCCCTACTCTGCTAGGGAGCGCTTCCAGTGAATTCGCTTATTTCAAGTATCGTATTTTTTGATCTTGGAATTTCTCTTTTCTTAAACTTTCTGCTTCTCTGCAGGCACTTCCTACCTTCTCATTCATGTTTTCCTTCTCAAACTTCAGGGTGTATCTGAATCATCTGGATAACCTTTAAAAACCAGACTACTGGGGGACGCCTGGGCGGCTCAGTCAGTTAAGAGTCCAACTTCAGCTCAGGTCATGATCTCACAGTTCGTGGGTTCGAGCCCCATGTCCAGCAGAGCCTGGAGCCTGCTTCGGATTCTGTGTCTCCCTCTCTCTCTGATCCTCCCCCCGTCATGCTCTGTCTCTCTGTCTCAATAATAAATAAACATTAAAAAAATTAAAAAAAAAAAAAAACCAACCAGCCTCCTGGGCCTTAGCCCAAAGTTCATGATTCGGGTGATTTGAGGCAAGGCCACAGATTTTGTGTTTCCAGCAAGTTCCCAGGTGATCCTGGAGGCTCTAAGGATCGTACTTTGGGAACCAGCGCTTTGCACCACTGGGCGTGGCCTTGATGGCAGCTTTAAAATCCCTGTGTGCTAATCCAAACATTCGGGTCATGTTGGGTTTGGTCTCTACTGACTCTCCTTTCCACTGAGAATGAGTCCGATTGGCTCATGTGCTGATCAATTCTGAAGTCTGCAGGTCTGAAATGCTGTATCACAGAGACTCTGGGGTGTGTTATGTTCTTCCCAAGAGTGCCGATGTTGTGTCTCAGCAAGCGGTGAACTTGCTGGGACTCTAACTACACGCTCTGTCTCTTGAGAAGGAGCTCAGACCCCAGCTCAGTCTCTCATCCTTGGCGAGGCTGCCCGGAGTTTGCCCGGAAAATACGCGATCTGCGGCTCGGCCAACGATTTAGGCAGACTGCGTACATAGAATGGTGGCTCCCTCTCCTGACGCTTCTATCTGAGAGTGCTCTCGCTGTCCAACACATCTGCCTGCTCACATTCTGTTATCTGCTTCCTCAGGCCAGAACAACTGTGATTTTTTGATCATTGGTTTGTCATCTCGGAAGCTGTCAACTGTGGCTGACCTCTGGCCAAAAGTCTGAAAAGAATCACACAGTCACCTAGCAGAGTTCCTTCCTTCCAAGCACCTGCTCCCCTCCAGATCTGCCCACGTTTGTCCATTCTCCACATCTGTCAGGTGTCGATAGTTGCTATCTGCCAGAGGGTCGGTTCACTAGGAGCTCAGTCAACCCTCAAAGCAAAACTCCCCTTCTAGCACTATTTTAAAATAAGTATAAGATTTTCCAAAATCATCTGCTGCTATAAATTTTAATCAGGTATTACAATGCTACATGTATCTATCTTGAAATATATCAACTGGGGTAAGCAGGCTCCTGTAAGTAACAAGAGATTACATCCTTACGTGACCCATGGGAGGAAGCCAAGCTAATTTGCATTCACGTATCTATTTATATACGTTAAGTTGCAAATGCAATTATATCTTTTTGTAACCAGAACAAAATTACCCAGTGTATGCTAAGAAAGCAATTTGTTCTTCTCCTTTATGTCTCTTTGGAAATAAGAACCAAAGAAAATTCTAGGCGGGCTATTTTTCTGCAAGTCATCCTGCCTATCCACGCATATTATGCATTGAGTTTCTTTCTGATAATATGACTCGATCGGCTGCCTCCAAAGCCTCTAAGTAAGTTAAAATGCATTTGATCCTTCTTAATAAGGGAAAGCTCCAACTGCATAACCTATTTTCGTTTCAACTCATCGCTTGAGGGTAATTTATAAAGATCAATAGCAAACCTGTTACCTGCGAGTTTATTTTACTAAGCACTGGGCTGGGTCAATCCGTTTCAGAACCATCTCCGATTATTAAACACCCCCCAGGGAGGCGTCTCCCGCACAGCCGCTTCTGCACTACCTCTCTGCTTCCGCACTGCCTCTCCTCAGGCGCACACAAGACATGCGATTAAAAAATGAATCCCTCATAAGCATCCCCTTAACGGGCACTCGTAGCAGGCTAATGGAATTCAGCAAAGCGCCAGCAATGCAGGGCCCAGGCAACAGGCAGGTAACAATCCCATCGATATTTAATCGACACGGAGAGCCAGAAACAAAGCGGGCATATCTGTAAAGCGTGCGTTCCTAATGAACACGCCAGCAGTCATGAAAACAGATTTCATCTTGGCGGCTAAAGCTTGGGGGCTCAGAGGACGCTTGGGGATGTGGTGACTTGCTCCGTTCGGCCAGCTGCTGGCTGAACGGGAGCAGAGGATGGCAGAACTATGTTGTCACAGAAGAAACACGTCCTTACATACAAAACCAGGGGACACGTCAGGATCTTCCTCCCAAGGCTGAAGACGCAGGGAAGAAAGATTTCTTTGGTCAGGTAGAAAGCACACCTTAAGGCGGGGGGCGTGGGGATGTGGAAGTGTCTCCATGATCCTGAGAGGCAACAAGGTCAGGACTCTGTGACAAGTAGTATCAGTGTGCAAAAAGGTCTAGGAACTGTGTGGACTTGCTAAGCCTGGGAGCCAACCCGCGGCTACCCTCTGGGTGGTGTGCCTGCACTTACACACGCCTCCATGTATGGGCAGGGTCCCCACCGTACACACCCCCTCGACTCACCACGCATACCTTCCAGTGCTTCAGAACAACCAGCCTTGTGCAAATGCCGCCTCAGTCGGTAGAAAGCCCCTCTGCTGGCCTCAGGAGCCCTCGTTTCCAACTCTGCCCCGGATGTGTTTCTGGGTGTCTGAGTACAAGCTGACCCAGGGATCAACCCCACAGTTCTTCAAACACCACCTTGCTGTACTCGGTACTGAGCCTCTTGACTAAGCCAGCCCCTCCTCCTCTCAGTTCCAAAGATAGGTCTCTGATGTGGGGGCACTCTGCACCATAGCACCTGCCATCCCCAACTGCAGCCTGGAGTGTGCGTCTTTTTTTTTAGTATAAAGAATTAACTTTCAGGGATGCCTGGGTGGCTCAGTCGGATAAGCATCCTACTTCGGCTCAGGTCATGATCTTGCGGTCTGTGAGTTCAAGCCCCACGTCGGGCTCTGTGCAGACAGCTCAGAGCCTGGAGCCTGCTTCAGATTCTATGTCTCCCTCTCTCTGCCTCTCCCCTGCTCAAGTCTCTGTCTCTCTCTCTCTCAAAAAGTAAATAAACATTAAAAAAAATTAAGAATTAACTGTCATAACTAAATGCATGTTCAACACACTAGGCTATATACACTGATGTCTCGTTACTAACACAGAGATAATAATCCATGTCCCGTTTCACAGTTCCTAGGGTTGATAAAGTCTAATGATTAGTTTATAAGCCATTTTATACAACCAACTCCTATAACAAGTACGCACGTGAGAACGCATGCACGTGCGCACACACACACACACACACACACACACACACAGCTATTAGATGTGCCATCATCCCAACAGCTCCATTTAAACAAGGAAGTGGTTTAAAGTAAGCAAAGCACAGCACTGTTGGCATCTTACTGAACTCCTCCAAGAAAAAAGTGTAAGATCATATATTGAGAACATGCTTCAAGAGCGGAGAGTCTCCTACCAAGGGGCTGGTCGGCATCACGCCCCACAGAGCATGAGTGCATGCAAATGGCGGCACGGGGCTACCACAGCATGGCTGCCTTCCTCCACCGTTTGGAGCTATGGCTGTGAACGGCCCCCGCCAGGGCACCTCTCCCGCCCTCACTCTCGGCAGGTGCACCCATGGCACGGGCTCTCACCCATGGGAGGTGCACGGAGTAACGTGCAACACCAGCCACGGGCCCAAGAAGTAAGAACATCTTTTCCTTCATCTCGTTCCTTCTCTGCTCACTGGACTCAGAGAGTGAAGACGCAGGCTCGCCTGAGGCTCAGCCTCATGGTGACAAGCAGCCTGCCCTATTCCAGAACACACCAGACCCTTCCATAAATGGGAAACGGACTTAGCCTGAGCCGCCATACATTTAGTAGCGGATGTGTTCCAGCAGCCCAGAGCCGCCCTCACATACAACCTGAGAGAGTCCTTTTCAAAAGCTACGGAAGCTTAAGGATCCTGAGGTGCAGGGCCGCACGCACATCTGGCTCAGGAGTGGAAAGCACCTCACAGAACTGATGGCGGGCGGCATCTAGGAATGAAGCAGTCGCAAGCTCCAAGCTCCTTACGTTTCTGAAGCAGAAGGGCGGCGCCTCCTCCGTGCTGTGCTGCTTGTGATAATCTGCCCAGTCGAAGTCCTGGCCAGGGTAACCTGTACAGGACGGAAACAGGCAGAACAGCGTTAATCAAATCAACAGCTTTAGAGCGTGTCACTGATCACAATGATAAGGGGTGCGAATCCAGGACCCTGAAGGGTGAAGTCGTCTCTTGTGCCTGACGGCAGGTCAGATTTCATAGGGCACGTGTGCAAAGACGTAAAGTACTAAATACAGGGCAGGCGCACCATCATGATCGTGATGTGGGGCCTGAAACTGGGTGAAGGGCGGCGTTTACCCCCATGGCACGTGCCGGTGACAAACGTGCTCTGGGGGAGAAGTGCTGCGTCAGGACGTCATACACAACATGTCTGCACAGCGTGTTTTGCAGAAATCCACAGTAATCATTCCCCGCACATAGAGCCTGATCGGTCTGTGAACTTCTCAACATCTTCGGGAAACCAAGAGACTTTATTGGAAAACACTGCCTCGGGGGAGGGTTTTAAAAGACCAACAGAAAGTATAACAAATGGCAAACAAGGAGTCGATTGTGGGAAAACTTCCAGAGGTGGGGGGGGGGGGGCAGCCCCGCATCTGGACTGCACTGAGGGAGAGGAAGGAAAATGAGCATCGGGAAAGATGGGCCTCTCGGGGGAAACGTTGGGGGGCACCTCTGAGACACGGTGCGCGGGGGGGTGGGGTGTGGAGAAACAGCTCCTGGAATGTGCTAAGCGTAATGGGATACCGATCCTGCCCAAGCGGGTTGTTTCTTCCCTCGTCTCACGGGGCAGGAGGGGACGCAATTAAAGTACATCCGTCACGCCCGCCGGGGCAAGACATGGGAGAAGGGCTTGGGAAGGTCGCGGGAAGAGAAAACGGTTCTAAATCATCACATAAGCACAGTGCTGGGTGCCCAGTCCGACCCAGAGGAGGAGACGGCTCTCCGTACGAGTGTTATTTGCGGTTCTCGGGAACCACGGATGGTGCTGAGACCCAACGGTGTTCTACCAACGAGGATTCGTGGAAAGGGCATCCGGCATCACCGCAGCCCTCATGCGAGATCTCCCCTGATGGGGGGGAAGAGTACGGACAGTAAATCCACCAGGGGCTTCCTAAGTATTTTGTGAGCCAAGTTCTCATGGCTCTTCCCCACATCGTCGTAAATTCCATACCTGCGGATTCACCTCACACGGGGACTTGAGGTCACTGACCCCCACGGCTGCAGAGACTACAGAAGTTCCTCACTGAAGAAGGTCAAGGACTGCTGCCTCCTACCCTGTCTGTACCCTCAAGTATAAGACGGTATTCTTTTCATTGAGGACCCTCAGTTTATACAGATGTTTTAGACAATGGGGTTGGAGTTAGCCAAGGACTCGCACTCCTCTGGCCCAGCGCCTGACCCCTGAAGCCCCCCATGCCCTACTGACCGTCAGCGGGAGAAGCACCCCGCTGCTTCCTACGGCATCCCTGTCATTCTGTCAAGGCTGACAATTCCTCATTTCTTTCAAACAAGGGGATAAAACGTCTTCTGGCTCTGAGATGCTGTCACTCCTGGTAGACAGTTTCAAGGAGATTCTGAAAGTTTTCCTACCTGCCCTTGCCCCCAACCCTTCTCTCCAGAGCTAGATGGATCTTTGCATCAGAGGTTTCTGGAAGAGACCAAGCCAACTTTTTTTCCGAACGCTTACCAACACAACAAAGTAAAACAAGACAAAATATGTTTTAAATAAGGTAATGCAAGTCTCTTTACAATGAACAGGACCCTCCGCTTTGAGAATAGTTTCCGTGGAGCTCTTCTGGATCAAACCCGTGCCTTAAACGTGTAAGAACAGAAGAGGCTGCCGAAATACAACTCAAATTGCCGAGAAGTTATCCAATAGTATGAAACTCGGAGGGCATCTGGGTGTTTAGAGCCGGCTCTACTAAAAACTAGATGAAACCAGGCAGAAGCAAAAATTCCTCCATGTCTGGATTTCTGATTCACAAAATAAAGAAGAGATCTTCAAGGCCCCTCCAGCGGCTGCATTCCATAATTCAGAGCCACCGTTACTGATTATTTTACTGCTGCTGCTTAGGACTTGTGCCCATCCTCCTGCGTGGTTAATTCCTTCCTCTTCTACGAGGAGAGTGTGGCAGAGCTGATGAAGAGAGGTCATGTGACAAGTCACTCCCCAGAGAAGCTGGCCATAGACTAGCTGAAGACAAGACGGGTCCTACAGCATAAGGACCCCATTTCGAAGGCCGGTTGACTTCACTAAAGCCAACATCTCACTGCGTCGCAATGTCTCTCCCCTCGACCTCTCTGCTTCCTTACCTTGGTGAGCTGAGGAAAATCTCATCAAGATCATGGGGGAAAAGAGGTAAACAGGGGGAAAAAACTATGTAAGTGAAAAACAAGCCATTTTCTGATAGAACATGGAGACCTGGGTATTCTTTATGGTCAATATCTGTTCTGATAAAACCTTCCAACTTACAAGTCACCTCTACTCCCCCTCCAGTGGTATTTAGCTGGGATTTCTATAATCACGTTCATAACCATGAACTTCCCCTAGGCGACAACCCACTCTATCAAATGTCATGCTCTGTGGCTTCTCAGACCTACATTCAATGCTTCTCTCTCAGTCTTCACGACTCTCTCTATGGGGAGCCATTTTTAATCTAATAATTTCAAGATCCAACCACGTCTTGCCGGTACCTAAGCAACAAAGGATTATTTTGCCCCCCTCAGCTCTTCGTTTCCCTGAACATTTGAATAGCCTAGACTTCTCCTCCTCCTTCTCATAGGGACCTTTATTCACTTCATCACTTAAAATTCTTTTCCTTCAGGCTGATAATGAGCTCTCTCTTTGTAAGGCAGTTTTGTGACAGCTCAGAAAATATCTGCTACATAAAAACAAATTGCTGTGGCTTGTATAATAGAGACAACAGGGGTCAATTATAGTCATTAATCAACAAAGACAGAACACGAAGTACTAAGGCTTAACTGTAGCTGGGAAAACATGTTTTAAACCCAGGAGGGGGGAAAATCGCAGAGGGGAAAAGAAAATAAAAGCAAATCAAAACCCCCTGGGCTGTTAAAATCCGCAACGAGCTGCCACAAGGGACTGTTGAGCCACGACCACTGGAGTTATTTGAGCTTTTATTGGTGTTTATTCTGAACCAAGTTCCAGCCGCTACAGGTCCAAAAGAGAAGAGGTCTGTGACCCATTTCCTTGTGATACAAATTAATTGGCACAAACCGTCCCACTTGCAAACATTACTGTTGGGAGCGCAAGTGGGTAATTCTTTTGGAAAATAACTGGGCAGTAAAACATTCATGAACTTTGACTTCACAACAACTTAGGAACAATCCTAAAAACTGAAAAAGTGTTATACATTAAGATACAACGGCTTATTACTGGTGGGACAACTTTACATCCCAAAAAAGGAAATTATACATAACTTATTCAAGGTCCGTGGGAAATAATATAGGCACAACACTGCACACGGTTTGTAAAAACAAAACAGGAGAACATATTGCTGTAGGTTTAGATGAAAAGGCTGCTTTGGACAAGCATAAACAGAGTTAGCAGATTTACCTGAAAGTATGCAAAGAGAAAGACCAGAGGAAATGTAAGGAAAACTTCACAGTAGTAAATATCAACATAGTTATCGGGCTGGTGGGTCTTGTGGATGCGTCTTTCTTCTATCTCTTTGTATTTTCCAAGTTTTCAATCCTGGTCGTAAATTATTTCAATAAAAAGTATTTGGAAGTGCAGACCTTTGCTCTATTTTATTTTATTTATTTTTTTAAATGCTTATTTATATTTTAGAGAGGAGAGAGCGTGAGCTGGGGAGGGGCAGAGAGAAGGAGGCAGAATCTGAAACAGGCTTGTCAGCACAAAGCCCGACATGGGGCTCGAACCCAGGAACCGTGGGATCATGACCTGAGCCGAAGTCAGAAACTTAACTGCCTGAGCCACCCAGGTGCCCCTTGCTCTATTTTAAAAGACAGTCAAGGCACTAGTCAATCAATCAAGAGCTAACTTTGCATCTGGAATTCACCATGACTGCTTCCCAAGAGCCAATGTCCAGCTTCTCGTTTGCTAACAGACCCTGATTTTGTGCAGTTCCTACAAGAAGTTAGGACTCTCCTCAGCACCAGGAAGTGAATCACGACAGCCTCCCACCCCGATAATCACGGTGTTCTCATGCCCTTTGCACCAGGAAGTGAACCATGACATCTCAGAGACCATGACTGTAGGATGGAGGGAAGGGGAAGGATGTAAAAAAAAAAAAAAAAAAGAAGACATCCTTCTGTAATAAGACAGAGTTAGAGCTGCTCTTCTATCCCAGATGAATATGGAATAAAAAACAATCTTGTACAATCTTCAGAAATAATATCAGCAAAAGAGCTTCATCTCTGCCATCGACCTGACCGGCCAGATGGAAAACAATAATAAAATTCCAGCACTGCAAAGACTGCTGGGAAACAGGTACACTTATGCATTCCTTGTTGGCATGTATCTCAAAACTCCACTGCAGACGCCGATTCGGCAATGTGTCAAAATCTTTACGAAGGGGTCTACTCCCCACTCTAACCGTTTGTTCCTTTGTATATTCAATAATTGAAAGCATTTATTAAGAGCATGCTACATGCCAGGCACAGGTCTGGTTCGAAGCATACAGAAATGACCAAAATCGACAAAAGCCCTCATGAAGGCAAGCTTCTGGTGCACTGGGAGGAGACACATCTTACACAAGTAGAAAACACCGGACGATCAGAGTGCTACAGAGAGAAATGGGAAAGGGCAGAGGGAGGGCTCAAGTCTTGACAAAACGCTGAAAAATCTAGGAACTGAGGAAGCGAGTCTTGTGGCCACGTAGGGGGAAGGGGTGCCAGCGGACGGGGCCAACAACTGCAGAAGTCCAGAAGCAGGTCTAGAATGTTCTAGGAAGAGCAAGGAGGACTGTGGGGCTGGGCAGAGCGAGTTGCGGGGAGAACAGAGCAGTAAGTCCATTATGAAGTATCCTACAGAAATAACAGGGTGCTGTGCAAACATTTTATGCATAAAAG